TCGAAACAGGCTCATATCATCCTGTGGGCGCTGGTCATGATCGTGGGAAATCTGCTTCTTCTTATGCCGAGACGATTCAAACTCCTAACCACCACACAGAGAGCACACCACTATCACCCACGTCCCCTCGAGGCCACCACCGCAGAGGCTCAAGTACGGATCAAGGCCTGAGCCGTAAACGAAGTCTCATTAGACCCGAAAGACAGAAGATTGACAAGGACCACCGAAACTACCATTATCGCCAGCATGCGGCTCATATGAATGTCCAGCCCTCTACGACGGGCAACGACCCCTTGTTAGATTCGTTAGAAGCCTCTACTGACCGATCGGGTATCTCACAAACAAACGACACTGTTTCGGATGCCAGTCCACCTCGCCGAACTCAACGCAGGAGTAAGGCCCAGAATGAGAAGAGACCCGATGTCACTGAGAAGTCCACGCCCAAGCGAACCAAGTCTAGCAGGAGCCAAAAGAGTTCCAAACGCGACTCGAGGCAAAAGAAGAAATCCAAGGCAAATGAGGAACAGATCCGACCGCCTAGCCTTTGGAATGTATACTGCGCCATTGTTACCTTCTGGTGTCCCGACTTCCTCCTGAAGTGCCTTGGCTGGCCGACGAAAGCACAGCGACGAGCATGGAGGGAGAAGATGGGTTTAATCAGTATCATTCTTCTCATCATGACATTTGTCGGTTTCATTACCTTCGGTTTCACTCAGGTTGTTTGTGGTGTGGCACCGCAAAGATTGCAGGTCAACAAGGTTACCGGCGGTTACATGATCTTCCATGGTGTGGCGTACGACTTGGTCGGCTCTAACCATCCTCCGGCTGAGGGCATGCCCCGCAGAACAGATGGCGCTGGTCCCAACGTTCTCTACGATTTACCGACAAAATACGGTGCCATGGACGGAAGCTTCCTCTTTCAAAATGTCAACGGCAACTGCAAGGACTTGATTACCCTGGCGGATGGTTCTGATGTTCCCACCAATAGCGATGGGGACTTGGCGTGGTACTTCCCTTGCAAGGCGTTCAACCAGGACGGCTCCAGCAAGGCAAACACGACACTTGAGTACACATCTGGGTACGCTTGCCACACGTCTGAAAAGGCCCGAGACAAGTTTTACCTGGATCTGAAGAAGAGCGCCGATGTGTATTTCACCTGGGATGACATCAAGAATAGCACCAGAAACCTGATGGTTTATTCTGGCTCTGTCCTTGATTTAGATCTTCTCAACTGGTTCAATGAGACCCAGGTGGATGTGCCCCAGCGTTTCAAGGATATCAGGAACCGCAACTCGAAACTTAACCAGGTTGTCCGAGGTCGCGACGTGACCCGTATGTATCAGTCCTCAGCCGACAAGAAGATGGCCAAGTGCTTCGAGGAGATCATCAAGATCGGCTCTGTGGATACCGAGACTATCGGCTGCATTGCCTCCAAGGTTGTTTTGTACTGTGCCCTGGTTTTGATTTTGGGACTTGTCGGTGCTCGATTCGTGCTGGCCATTATCTTCCAGTGGTTCCTTAGTCGCAAATATGCCGCCTCGAAGACCTCACAGAGTTCCGACCGCAGGAAGCGAAACCAGCAAATCGAGGAATGGTCAGAAGACATCTATCGCGCCCCTGCCAGACTTCCTGGAGACATTGGAAGCACAGTTGTCGGCTCCGACAGGCTAAGCAAACGAAGCTCGTTCCTCCCAACAACCTCTCGCTTTTCCGCCGTGTACGGAAATGGTGAGCCAGGGCGCCGGATGCCAACCACCATGGGTAGCCAGGCTGCCTCCAGCTCGCTCCAGCCCAGCTCCGTTTACAAGCAGAACAATGATAGCCGTGCCAGCTTTTTGCGATCCGACCCCTATGCGCCAGTTGCCGAAGGCCCGGGGCCAGCTGGTTTCATTCACGATTCCGTTGTTCCTCAGCCCCCTGCCGATTGGATGCCGTTCGGTTTCCCTCTTGCTCACACTATGAACCTGGTTACAGCCTACTCTGAAGGTGAAGAAGGCATGCGCACGACTCTCGATTCCATTGCCATGACAGATTATCCCAACAGCCACAAGGTGATCGTCGTTATTTGCGACGGTTTGATCAAGGGTAAGGGTGAGACCATGTCAACACCTGATGCTTGCTTGAAGATGCTCAAGGACCACACTGTTCCCCCCGACCAGGTTGAGCCCTTTTCCTATGTTGCTGTGGCGAGTGGTTCGAAGCGACACAATATGGCTAAGGTCTACTGCGGTTTCTACGATTACGGCGCCAAGTCTCAGATTCCTCTCGACAAGCAACAGCGTGTTCCCATGATGGTGGTTGTCAAGTGTGGTACCCCCGATGAAGCCACCAGCTCCAAGCCTGGTAACCGTGGTAAGCGTGACAGTCAGATTATCCTCATGTCCTTCCTTCAGAAGATCATGTTCGATGAAAGAATGACGGAACTCGAGTACGAAATGTTCAACGGACTTTGGAAGGTTACTGGTATCTCGCCTGACTACTATGAGATAATGCTCATGGTTGACGCCGATACCAAGGTTTTCCCCGACAGTCTCACGCACATGGTCTCCGCCATGGTCAAGGATCCCGAAATCATGGGCTTGTGCGGCGAGACCAAAATCGCCAATAAACGCGACAGCTGGGTCACTGCCATCCAAGTTTTCGAGTACTTCGTTTCTCACCATCTGGCCAAGGCTTTCGAATCCGTCTTCGGAGGTGTTACCTGTCTTCCAGGATGTTTCTGCATGTACCGAATCAAGGCACCAAAGGGTGGCCAGAACTACTGGGTTCCCATCCTGGCCAACCCCGACGTTGTCGAGCACTACTCTGAGAATGTGGTGGAGACTCTTCACGAGAAGAACTTGTACCTTCTTGGTGAAGATCGCTACCTGACGACCTTGATGTTGAGAACGTTCCCCAAGCGAAAACAGGTCTTTGTTCCCCAGGCTGTCTGCAAGACAACGGTCCCTGATAAGTTTATGGTTTTGTTGTCTCAGCGACGTCGCTGGATTAACTCAACTATCCACAACCTAATGGAGCTCGTTCTTGTTCGCGATCTGTGCGGAACGTTCTGTTTTAGCATGCAGTTCGTTGTCGCTATTGAACTTATGGGTACCTTGGTTCTTCCTGCTGCTATTGCCTTTACTTTCTATGTTGGTAAGTGATATGTGTTCATTTAATTTTCCATGAGGCATACGATCTCTCTGAATGAATGACTAACGATATCGTACAGTTATTACCTCCATCATCAACCAACCGCCACAAATCATCCCTCTTGTGTTGCTGGGGTTGATTCTTGGTCTCCCTGGTGTTCTCGTCGTCGTGACTGCACACTCACCATCCTACATCATTTGGATGCTCATCTACCTGCTCTCCTTGCCAGTCTGGAATTTCATTTTGCCTACGTACGCCTTCTGGAAGTTTGACGACTTTTCATGGGGTGACACTCGCAAGACAGCTGGAGAGAAGACAAAGAAGGCTGGTCTCGAATACGAAGGAGAATTTGACAGCAGCAAGATTACGATGAAGCGATGGGCCGAGTTCGAGCGAGAGAAGCGCACCCGAAGCACATACTGGGGCTCAAGGGACAATGTCCAAAGCGGTTCCTGGATTCCTTCGCCGGGCCACACCTACGACGACAATTATTATTCCGACAACCAATAGATAAACACTGCGTTCCGTTTCTGTCTGGGTTTTATCCTTTCACGGGGGCCTGGAATGGTCGAATGAACATTATAGATGCATGTACATTTGGGTGGAGGGGGTTATAAGTTCTTGATTTTCTTGTTTTCCTGCGTTTTGGTTCTCCATGTCTCGATTGTCTTATTGTAGCCTCATGAAGCGCCCAACCCCCCTGTTTATATCTGGGATCATGTCTGTCTTGCAACATGGAGTATCAGTTTTCTTTTGAGCGGCTTGTTGTAATGAGGCAGTTGTGTGAGAGGTGGCTAAGAAAGGTGGTCTTGGAGGAAGAGGTGCAGTCTGGGATGTATATATTGGCTTTTGCTCGGATTGTCCGACACGATAATAATAAGAAGGCTGTCACTCGAGCGTCTTAATTTATTTGATTTGAACCAAAACCTATCTTGTGTGCTCTATTATTTGGTCTTAAGATGTGTGCATGTAAAGAGGACCCAAGTATGTGTCATGTCCATTTTGTCGCAGACAATAGTCAAGAAACTCTTGCCCTCTAGCTCTCGAGTCATGCGTTTCTACACTTTAGAGAGTATCTGGAAACCCTTGATGGATCGACTTGATATCCTCTAGCCC